ACAGATATGCTAAACATCATAACAGATAGGAGATTAATAATGATGTTGAGATATTTGCAAAACTCCGGATCGCAGGTGTCGGCGGTGGAGAACGAACGCACTATTGCTCTTTCTGGGGGTTAACGCGTTCACCGCCACACCATGACGGTCATTCGTTTCACCTGTCTCTCACCTAGTTAAAGATATAAGACTCTTCTGACATAAATCACTTCCGTAAAGAATTTGTGACATACTAAATAAACATTACACGTAAAAGTTCGTAATCTCAAAAACTACCATGCACTCCAACATTATAGTATAAAGGTACGTCTATTTTGTACGGCTACTGATCAACGTGTGTAGCGCAGTGATCGCAAGCGCCCTGAAATACACGTAGGGTCGATTCCCGTGCCCCATGCCAAGCCCTCCACACCTCCAAGGTCGCAAATTGGTATCAGACTTGTCCATGGGGATAACAGCACTGACACCATACATCGCTTCGCGAGTCATTGTAAAGGTTAGATGTGAATTCAATCACCACCAACGATGCTTAATGAAGTCGAATGCATGGCATATTCCTCAGTAGTTTATCAACACCGAAAGCTTTATCCTTTGTGCTTTTACTGGTCAACGCTATAAGACGTCTTCGCAGATTAAAAGCGATATGTAGTCATTCTTACGTCTTAGAACTTGTAGTAAACGATGACGAATAAATTAGTGATATTAATCAACTATGCAATAACGTTCCCGATCTTTAAACAAACAGTTGTGACAGATCACCTGAGAACCTACGAACAACGCAGAACATACGCCAGCCCTCCCCCGCTAGTTAGTTAACGAAATTCTTTAATAAGTTAACCTACACGCATTCCGTGGAGGTTAAAAAGCGAATTTACAAGTGTTGAACATATAGTTCGAGCTAAGCAATGGGAGCCCATTATTTGAAAACTTCTGAACCTAAGAGATGAGGTGTCTTAGCAACCATGAAGATAATAAGATCAAAACAAAACAAAACAGAGAAACACACTAACCGAGACGGATGAGATTTTACTCGTAATATTGTATGAGGCAGACACATGAGCAAGCGAGAAGGACCCGTTATTGGATGAGTGTGGTGTGCATCCTGCAGTGGTACGAAGATCAGACGACTGATGTTTGATGACCGCATGGTTAGCAGTCGGAGCCACAGCAACTTGCAAGTAGCTCAGAGACGGCAGTTGTTGCTGATGAAGGTTATGAAGCATGGTGATCTGCAACAGAAAAAGTACTGAAGTGCTGCTTCACCGACATTAATAAACTGTTACTATACAGAGGTTGCAATATGATATAGAGGTTCACTAAATGGCCTAAGTGAAGATCTCTTAAAACTTCAAGGTGTTTGGGATACACCTAAAAGCAGTATTACGCTTGTTTAACTACACGCTTCACGAAAAATGATGGGACAAGAGTAAATGGTTCCTGTGAAACACAAATAAAGTGTAAAAAAAAATCGATGCCTCTCTAGAGAAGGTACACGTTCTATAAAAGCTACTCATGAACTAAGAGTTTGTAAAACAGGTAAACAAAGGACAAACAGAAGATTGAATGCAACGGACCTGCTGTAGCAAGCTGTTGTTCGCCTGCGTCTGTGATGCAGCGATGGCGGTGGAAAGAGGGCTTTGCCACATCCCCTCCGGGCTCAGCAAAGCGCTTACTTGCTCGATAGTGATGCAACTTGACGAAGAACTCAACTAAACACTCAAAAACCTTTCATAAATGTCATTGTAGCGACGAAATAAACTGCCATACGTAAGAAAAAAAAGACTTTACAAAAAGACTACTTATCGGCACACTCCGCAAAAAAGCAAGAATTCAACGGCCTCATAAATCCCCGGCTTCAAAATCATATTTCACACTGAAAACTTAAAAGTGACAAGCGCACAGCTTTCGGATAATCAAATATAAGCGTTCGTGTTGTCGCTTGAAGTGTTGTAGTGTGAAATTGTGGTTGCAGTACTTCGTGAGAAAAATGACCTAGAAGGTATTAAGAAATTACATAATGGATAATTTCTGGGACTTAGTAACTCACTGTAAATAACGTGGACCTTTTCCTTACTCAGTGCAAGAGTTATAGAGGGTTCGGATCACGATCGTTCCCGTGACTGGGTCCTTCGCTTTCACTAATTGATGGCTAACGCTTAACAATGACTATGCCTCGTATGCACCAAGAAGTACTACTATCACTGTACAGGCTATCCGAAGCTCAACTGATGAAGAAGGTTGGGAATTTTCGTTTTACCTTAGGTTCAATTACCACTGGATGGAGCACGAGACACGATGCAAGTGATCTTACAGTTGTTTCTGGATCTATACAAATTTGTTCTAGGTGGTGAAACAAATTTGAGCGAATAGTTATGAATCGCGCAAGTGGTGAAGGAGATAGTTCGGTTGCGTTATGACCAAATAAGTGTAGATGTGAACATAGTTGAGGACGATGACAATAACGTTGGGTTGCAGAACAGGAAAGGCTCGGTCTAAGGAATGGTATGTGTCTATGTCGTCGAGAACGTTGAGATTCGCACGCCGCTCGCATCTCCCATCCATTTTTTGTTTGTGTGGGAACGGCGGCGAATGAGAATTGCGAACAGAAACGACCGTGGGAACCGGCGAGACGCCCGCCCATACAGCGCTGCCTGCCATCACGGCGACCAACCTTCGAGGTCATCGCCTACCCCCACCAAGAAACGTTTCTCTAAATCTTCTCATTCGTGTCGATCATGTGTTACGGTCTTGAATTATGTAGAGAAGAGAGCTACATGACGAAAACGTATGGAAAGTTTTTTCTGCATGATACAGTAAACAGTAATGGATCACAATCCTAGGTAGCCCTCGGACAATGAAGGTTTATGTGGACTACAGTTACTTAGTGATCGACGAGGCCTATTGATAGCTATAACTACCAACGTTTTCAGAATCGATGACCATCATTGCAAACTAAACTATGGTTTGAATTAACTAATTACTACAGTTTTCTCACCAATCGGCAGCTGGTAAGCCATCGACTTTTGCATTTAGCGGCTTACGTCTTTGTGAGGCACGATTATTTGGCAGATCTTCTCTGTCAGAGTGAATCTCACTTGATTCTAATGAATCCGATACGTCTGATCTGATTCGATCAATTAATTGCAAATACATCTGGGAACAAATAGAGGATCGACTGTGGTTTGGATGTTGACGCACATTGGTGGTAAACAAGACCGGGTCGCGTTGGGTGAATCACAAACCGGAAGTTTGATTCATAACTCTTACAAAATTTTCCCGTGAATTTGAGCTAACTAGTATTAACACACAGCGAATTCTTTAGCATCCTTGAAATGAATGGCGTGTCGGCACGATGAGCGAAAGCACCGAGTTCGCAATGAATTGGTTTCACCGGCGGATTCCAACAACACCACGAAGTCTTTCCTTTCTGAGACACTGGCAATTCAGGCCTGTCTCTTCATTTCTGCGGATTAGCTATCGATACTGAATCTGAGTTTTACTTCAAATAATCGATATCATGTCCCTACATTTGGGTGGCCTTGTATTAAGGGCAACTATCGACTGACTCTGTCAATCTTTCGCGTGTACCATTTTGGTCGACTACACATCAGTCGTGATAAGTAATCACTTGACTATCACACAAAATATAACAACCCACAGTGACTAGTGGTCAGCAGCGTGCAATACTCTTTTCTCTTAGACTGTTTCTCTTAGAAACAAACAACGTTCCAAAAAAAAAAAGGAATTCCAATGCTGAGAAACGCTAGAATGTGCTCGCCGTTCTTTCATACATTTTCTTCTAGGCGATACGCACACAACAAACTGCCGATTATTCTCGCAAATTTAGTCCTCACAGGCCGTCGAGTATTCGTAGCGAAGCAGAAAATCGAGCTCAACGTATGGAGGATGAGTTTGTGCTTTCCCACGCCGATTTAGTAAGGCTTGGCACTTCACATGATGAGATAATTACTCACCTCCGAAGGCGTGGGAATGCCACCCGTGGCTGGTCAACTCATAAAGAAATCGACGGACACGTCACCTACGAGAGATCGGATTTGAATAGAAGAAGAAATCGTTACAGAACTGGCCTATAACGGTCATTTAATGTCTCGCACTTTTTCGAACAGGCCTTTATTGTAAGTATACTGGGAATATTCGACTTCTTCTCATCAGTTCTGTCCTGTAAAAACTGATGGAAATCTGGTCTAGAATACGTGGGAATATAAAACACTAATTAAAGTCATTAAAGAAGTGCGTGTGGAACAGCGGTTGGAGACGCCACTGTGACACACACGTAGAATCGACCCCCGCACCCATGGTCCACGAAGACTGCCATTCTTCTGTGGTCGGCAAATTGGTACCAGACTTATCTGGGAGGATAGCAGCACTGCCTCGATACATCAGTAGGCCACCGCGAGTCATTGTAAAGGCCAAATATGCATTCAGTCACCTCCAAACGATGCTTAATGAAGCCGAATGCATGGCGTATCCCTCAAGGATTGCTCAATACCAAGAGCTTAATCCTTTCTTTTAATTGGAGTCAAGATCAACTAGACTTGCCTCGCAAGCATTTTTTGCCAGCCTGAAATCGCACAATGGTTTACTTTGAGGCATTCTGGTTAAAACAGTCCTCTGCGTAGAGAAAAGCGGTGACGAAAGTTTAGGTCCGTCAACTCACGAAGCAATAAAATTTTTGCATACATTTATTACAAGTAAAAGTCTTCTTGAGATAAATGGAAAGAGTAAAATAAAATAATGGATGGCATATTTGTTTAATTTAGTAATTTAAGTATTCGACGAACAAATCGGCACTTACAACTTCTTGAATAAAAAAGTTCACTCTTATACGTGTTCAGCTTTCATTCTAATACCAAGCTAGTTCAACAACATCTAATAGGCATTTATTTAACCTTAGTGTCATCGAGGCTAGCGCTAAGGTGTTTAATATTGAACTACATGAAAAATAAAAAGTGAATCTATCAAATATTGACTGGACAGCTCTATTCTTCCAAGGCAGTCAGCGCTGCCAGTCGTCCTGGTGCTCCCGTCACTCCTCCGCCTAAAACATGTAGTGGTCGTTGGATTTTTGCAACCGACTTCTTTTTTGTTCTCGTCAAGCCTTGCATTTTTTATAAAACATGAAACGATTTGTCAACTGGCAGACTTAACAGAGCAACGTGTTAACAACTAGTCACGCAATTCATATTTTGCAGCTATTTTATCGATCGAATAAAAAAGCTTAGAATAAAACCTGACAAGGGCTTGTTACCTGGATGTGCACCACTTCCACAAAGATATAGCTCTCGAATTGGAGTGCGGAAGCTACTGAATTGAGGTACGGGACGGGCGAAATAGAGTTGGTCAAGCGTCATGGCGCCGTGGAAGATATTCTAGAAATGATTTTTGCGAATCAGGTGATTGGAGGAAACAAGAGGAAAGTAATGACTAGAACAGAAGTTTTAACAATTCCGTACTCCTCCAGTCAATCCGAAAATCCTTTCAATATCTGGTGGTGGAAGAACTTCGTAATCAATGACTGAGGAAGAGAAATTCGGAGCGTAGGCGTCAATTTCACTGAACACTAAATAGAGACTCGTAGTGCTGATACACCTTCTTTAGTCAAATTTGTTTTGCAAAGGCTTTAGGAGAGATAAAAACTGTTGGTTCAGCATTAACTAAATAGAAAAATCCGATCGAACGGTTTCCACCCGATAGTCGAGTCTTTCTTTAGTTTACCCACTATCTTCTAGTCACATGTCAACAATCAAATTTTCGAATGATCTGGATTTTCCAGTCAAGAACGCCTATTCTGTTTGGAAAATGTTGTTTCTTCTTCTCTTGCAACAGTAATATTCACAGTGATCGGTAACGGAATTGGTCAAACCCTTCGAAGACTCCCCCTCTTGGAAGGCTTCGCTCATCCTCTTAGCTCACTCTAGTCCTAAATTTGTGCTATTTAATTGAGTAATTCGAATATTCTTGAACCTAGAAAGTTTACATGCAAGGTTCTCGCCATTATGTCTGACCGTCGAACGTCCTGCCACTTGCCATCGCGCACAGTCCATTCGACTACAGACCCTCCTAATCGATTGTCCTTCAAACTAATCAAATTGCGTATAAGACCCTCTTAATGGTTAACGTTATGCCTTCTGTTTATTAGCGGTATCACCATTCTTTCTTTCTCGGTTCTAAAAGTTTTACTTTGAATAATCGGGATTAGGGGCGTTAGAAGCGAATCAGGGTTGCCGTCCAATTCACGTACTATAGCTACCGGTCAGAGCTCGACCTGGATCAAGTTTGTCGCCAATCCCTCAGGCTCAGCAATTTGATAGTAGCAGGCTTGTCTCCGAAAACTTCCTTCTTATCCAGGAAGACCAGTTGTGGTGAAGGCTTCGAAAGACTCAACTAGAGCTATTCCAAGATTCCAGATAGAATGAATTCGAACAGCGCTCGACGACACTCATGAAGCAGGCAAAATCCTCAAGTAGCAGCAAAACCGACACGCAAATCTAAGGATTTCCGTGGATGCAGGACGCAAGGCAACGAACCGAATGAAAGAATTTTTGGAATGAGCAAAGTATGTAGTAAGGAGTCGTGCGAATAAAAATAAAAAGGGTTGCGATATCGTTCTCTCGTCAATGCATTTGTTCCGTCGCTCTATTCTTGATCGCTGTTCCACCTCGTTCCACCTACTCCATCAAACACACTCTCCCTCACTGTTTCGGAGTTGATCAATTTGTCCAGACTTCCTTGCAAATGATACAGCACTAACTTCATTGACTGAATTTGTGAAGGATCTTGAGCCAACCAGGTCGCTCTTTTATCGACAACATTACGGACGGCGTCACTTTTCAGTGGCATTGATCAACGCCATGGACTTGGTCTATATACTTTCATTTCGTCCCTTATTAGCTGAATTATTTTAAGAACTAGAATGTTCGCAGTTTCTTGAGCGTTAAAAATGATAAAGCTGTCAGCGTTGATCAATCCCTGAGGGATGCGCTATGCATTCGACTTCATTAAGTATCGTTGGAGGTGGTTGAATGCATATCTGGCCTTTACAATAACTCGCGGTGGCCTATCGATGTATCGAGCCAGTGCTGCTATCCTCCCAGACAGGTTTGGTACCAATTTGCTGACCCGGAGCGGATGAAGGGCTTGGTGAGCTATGGGTGTGCGGATCCATTCCATGTGTGTGCTGCAGTGCACCTCCGACCACTGCGCCACACGCGCCCTTTTTCAGCGTTAATAATTGTTAATAGGTAGCAATTAAGAGAATTCTTGGTAAGCTCCTAGTAACAATATATGATTTGTTCATTACTTTTCTGCCGCTGAAAAAAACATTTTGCAGATTAATCGAGATCTGAGGATATCCTGATTCTTTTCTTATTACAGTATTTGTCGCCATGTTTGCACAATGTCTAGTTTAGAAATATGAAATCGTTTAGATTCGAGTAGCTGAAAGTGGTGCAGACGCCGTCAACCGACCGTGTTTGGCGTAGCACTTCTTGGTCTCGTCCGTCCACTGGCCTTCCTTTAGTTGATACGGGGTGTACTGTGTGAACAGTGAGATTACATGCGACGAGTCATCCGCGACCAACGATCGGTCGATCGATGACGGAATTGTCATCTCGATAACCGGCCTCAAATCGATATTTTTCATTACTTCGTAAGATGAAAGAACATTATTTGTGAGATGAAACGTGAAGATAAAAAGCAACAGTGTACACATCACTAAGTAGCCTTTGAAGAACTAGAAAGCAGGCTGTGGTAGCATGGAGTTTCTATGAAGAGTTTTCCGTTCACAGTTTTAGGTCTCACTGGGTAGCGAGTAGAAATCTAAGAAACTTGGAATTTTCAAAAGAATGGAGGTGATGAAATTCATAGCATTTCTCTACACTCTGGCAACTGGTTTAGTCTACCCTACAAAAGGCATACCTTCGGCTCCAATTGCCATTCATAAAGTCAGTGAACGCGCCGTGAATAGTGTCCATGTGCTCACAGTTCATATGAATTGTCGTCTGATGATGAGGCAGTGGTCGTTTTCCAGAGTTCGGATTGCACGTAAATGAAGGCAGTTCAGCGACAGCCACTGTAAATTTCAGTGCATAGCTTCCAGGGCATTATGATATGATGTCTATTTATGGGACTACAAATGTGTTTTATGATCAGAAATTTTACTAAGCACGCGAAGCAAGGTTTGTTACCTTCCATGAGGCTAGTGGCAACACAACGAAGACCTTACATATTCATTTTACTGCCCTCACTAAAGAAACACAATAGCCCATTCCGATTTCTTTGAAGAATTCTTCACAAGCTAAGTAATGGTCTTTATCATATAGAAATAGAAATGAGTTCAGAGTGAGAAACGTTATGGTGCGAAAAAAATCCGAGCAAGTGATTCTATTGCTTTTATTATTTAACACATTGCATACCAACCATTTATTTTTGTTACGGGTGAAGTGTAATCTATGGATTGCACGGCGCTGAGGAACTCTTGAGGAAGGTTGGACTGAAACCCGTCTATTAAGTAAGTGCACAACTTTCAGTTTCTGTTGATCAAAGATTACCTAATGGGTAATGAAGCTCCAAAAATTTTGTGCAGTTTCATGCTTACTTTAGGCAACAGATCCTCGAAGGTGATCTTCGGTGTAGCGTTTGAGAACACCATTTTCGCGTGAACTTCTTTTCCATTCGACAGGAGAACTCCTTTAGCACTGCCGCGGTCTACAAGGATCTCTACCACTTCCTGAAACAGATAGTGCAAGTGAATCCATAGTCATCTTGGGAAATTATTCGGAAAAAGTGCAAAAATTACATTTTAGACGACAACTTAGTAGAGAGTTTCCAACTTGAATTAACGAGAGAAGCCCCACTGCTTTGGCATCATTACACATAAATCATTCAAAATAATGTTCACATAATGAGAAGAACAGACGACATATGGACGAAAAGAACTGTAGAGTGGACTCCACGAGAACGCAAACGTCCCCTAAGGGGCGGACGTGTTCGTAAACAAAGTTAATCAGCTGTACCCGCAGCTGCAGTTATTTTGCAGATCACGGAATGTGACTCGCACGCTCCACCATGCTCGAGTAAAACGAACAACATGGACAACGGTTGCGAGAGAAAGAAACGAATGGCAAATGTGCTGGGTCCGTACAAATCGTGAAGACGGACCATCCAAGTATCCAAGTAGGTTTAAATCATTTAGTTTCTCAAAAAAAAACTGGTAATTTTAACCGTGTAGTTTTCGTACTATGTTCCGAATTGATCTACTCCTCATCTATACAAGCAAATAGCTCAACACTACAGCGAACTTAATATTTGGTTAGCGCATCAGGATTATTGCTTGCATGAAGATAAACCCATGTTTCTAATTAATAATATCGTAAAAAACGCCTTGAACATAAAAGTGATGTACCTGACCAGTGAAAATCTCAGCACCATGCTTTCTTGCCGCTTTTGCGATCGCCTGAGACACCTAAAAATGCGGGTTTTGTTCTCCTACACGAACAACAGTGAAGGAAATATGGCGAAGGCTTTACCTCTCCCATGCCACCTATCACATATCCCCAAGCTCCTCTCCGATTGTCCAGTCCTCCCAGAACATGGTGGAGTAGAACATAACTAGGTTTCAGTTATTACTTATATTCTTTAAAATTCACTAAATCATCCCGCGTTTTGCGCATTTATCACGTTTGACAACTAGCCAAATTGGGCAGCAGGATCATGATCACATCTTTATGATGGTCCCCTCAGCTAACCAAATTCGTGGCCAAGCTAGATTAACGAATAGCTAACTAACCACTAATGATGAGTAATAAGTGCCAGCATTTCCCTGTCACGTTGGGTTCAAAAAATAAAAAAAAACTGAAGGTGAATTCAGGTTTCTAAGGAAAAGCCATATGCTGAGGGTGAGGAAGTCTATCCATTGTAAATCATAAGCTGAATGAGGAAAAAGGAAATGTTACTCCGAACGTATCAAATTGTTCGAATCTAGATCGGTCTAAAATATACGAGTGTTGAAGGCCTGGAAAAAACCGGTCTACGTATTTGAACAAAAAATTGCAATACCCAGTTCCGGCATCGTAAGGACTGGCTGCAAATCCTATGATACCATCAGTACCCAGAGTCGCCTTCAGCACATCGCTCTCGAACCACTTTTCCATTACCTTAATGAGCAAGTGATATGAAAGCAGTCTACTCAGGCAGCTTTGCTCCTAAAACAAGCTAACCTTTGCGATTGGAGCTGTCATCAATTCGTAAAATTCGACGGCGTTGTTGGCACCAATGTGGCGTACTGTAATAAAATTAATGAGTCGTTTCATCTCTGGTAATGGAATCATACTCTTTTTACCAGACTTGATCATTTCACGTATTTTCCACCTATTCTTAAGCAATTTCCATTTGGATTTTTCGTGAAAATTGTGTGGGACGTGGTCCATGTGTGACTCGAGAGCGTACACAATCCGTTCGATAAATTGCTCATACTTAGGAAATTTCTGAAAGAAAATATTATGAAGAGTTCGGACTAGGCAGGTCCATAGAACGAAACCTCATGTTTCTTAACGGAATATCACAGCCACAATAATGCTATTGTCACAAATTCTTAGCACCAAATTTTCGAGAATGTCCTATAGAGTTTTCTGGCCTAGATAAAGTCGTGCTGAGATAAATCAAACTGGTTATTCACAGATTTTCAAAGTCGATGACTTTAGTGAGTGGAAGGGAATTCATTATAAGGTTTAGCATAATACCGTTGCAAGGACGCTCCTATTTGTGGATGTGTAGAACAGAATCGATTTCATCCCCTAAGCTCGATACAGCTTTCAAGAGAATTCGATGTGACCATCCAGAAGACCAAATAAAATCGATGTAATGTCAACAAGTGCCATCAACTAGGAAAAAACTGAATCGCTGAGTAGTAAATTTTCACTAAAATCACATCAGGATTCACAAAAGAGAAGAAATACTTTCTCTTCCAGAAACTATAACCTTACTACTGGCGGCGCATCTATGATGGTGGGTTGGAGACAACTGTGGAGGAAGAAACAGAGGTTTTATTAAGACCGAATAACAATGGGAAGTTGAAAACCCGTGATTATGAAACTCACGGGGAAAATGGGATCGATGCAGAAGGGATTAGAAAAGTTGACGAAATAGTGAGCGTTTAAAAATAAAACCTTGCTTAATCTACACAAAGAATCGCGATAGATGACGGATTTTTCTCCCACAGATTTTTTAAGAACAAGCGCGTAGCGACATTGAATTGAGACACCACTTCATGCTTATTGGCACAATCTACAGAATTCCTCAAGAAGAGCAACCTTTTCCTTTCGGCTTCGTTGCATCACCCTTGCGAAGGAGTAAACGCTCAGCGGTTTTTCAGCTAGTCACTCAACTTACGTAATAAGGACTTACACACAGTATTCACAGAAAAATACGCTGTTTAGTAATGAAAAGCGAATATGGCGGTACATCAAAGAGGTCCATCCATGAACGGCTAAAAATTTTTTTACGAATCAGCTCACAAAAGAATTCTTTTCAACCTTCTCCTCTTTTCCATCTAATCGTAACAATGCATCATTTAACTGAAAGGGGATAACACTTTTCATGAGTCCTAACTCGAATCACTAACCTATCGATGAGCTTCTGAAAACTTCAAAGGAAGGCAAGCTTTTTAGAATCGTATGAATACTATGCGGAACATTATACTCTATACTTCAGCATCACGTTGAGAAAACTTTGCTATTTGCTTGCAGTTTTCGTTCATGTCCAATCCAAGCAGTAGACTTTTATTAGAATCACGAATTGGCGTGAATGAGGATGGATTTCTGACGTGATAGCGGAGTCCATGTTCCTGCAAATCGCTAAAGTTACATTAATTGTGTTGTTTGAGTACGGTTTCTTTGAATTTAGCATGAATTTATTAGACAGTGTCTTAAAAGGGAAATGGGGCTGTGTGCAAACAGCAGGAAAGGAGAGCAAGCGCTAAAAATATCCCTTATAGCTCTTACCTTGAGTTTGAGGTCATCTATAATAACAGGCCGAAGCAAGCTCAGTAGATAAGATGCGCGAGAGAATTTAAAACCTGGAAAAACTAAGATTTAATGCATACCAAGAGCAAAAATATCTAGAGCCACAATAAATCAACTCTACTCGGCACAATCTCTTCAGTAACTGCTGCTCCTCCTAGCAGTGTTCTTCTTTCCAGCAGGCAAACACGTTTTCCAGCACGAGCCATGTACGCCGCCTGCATCAAAATCAGCTAGCGGATACAACATAGAACATGAAGCATCGGAAGCTATTGGCAAGCCAACTTATATGAAGTGTGTGCGGATTAACGGTTACAGGGTGCACTGTAATACAAATATGGCCTTCGGTTTGATTCACTTCAGTCGAACCAAATTCATATAATCTTAACTCTTTTATTTACTGCCTTTTTTCTTCTTAATGGCAGGGTATGTTGTGAAGTATAACTCGTATGAAGTGCTGAGATATTTGCAAAACTCCGGACCCGGATGGTGTAGTGGTGAAGTGCGCTGCTCTCCGGTAAGGACAACAGCGCGTGGTCGTTCCCCACTGCATACACCTGTGGTCCGGAGTTTTGCAAATATCTCAGCACTTCATACAAGTTCATATAGTTCCAGGGTCGGAAAATCGGTAGCAGAATGGTCTGTGAAAAGCTCCTTCTTATACAATGGCCGGAGGATCTTGTGGGGAAGGATGCCGTAGCTGGAATAGACCGGGGCTGGAATTCAGTGGCATTCATGGAGAATCCTTTTCGCGAACAACTTCGTGGATGTCGAATAGAAGAACACGCAGTGCAGAAAGCGGTGGTGACAAGAAGGAAAAATATTTTAATTTTCGTTCCCCACCATAGACACCTGCGGTCCAGAGTTTTGCAAATATCTCAGCAACGTTGTGGTTGTATTTCGCTTAGTAACCTGCCATGAAAATTATAGAAGGCAGAAAACAAAAACGTTAAAAATATTTTGAATTTTTTCGCAGACTGTTGGGAGTGAACTCTTGATGTACATCGCAAATCTACATCGAGGGACACTTCTCAGGCACACAGTAAAGAGGGAGGTGGTGGAGTGAGAAGGGGAAACCATTGGAGAATAACGATGGTGATAGTAATAAAGAAACGGTAATTATTGATGATGATAGTAACAAAGAAATGGTAATTATTGTAACCGCTAGTAACTGCCAAGACCGACTTTCTATTAACCTCGGCATTGACCAAGTGATTTTCTTCGTATTTTTGTTCGTATAATGTCATTATACTTCCACGTGATTTCTGTGCGGTTGGTCTCTACGTGACATACTTAGTGGAAACCTCATAGGAAGCGGCTCTGAGGAAGGCGAAATCCGCCGAAACGTCAGCTTAATCGTGAACAAAGAATTGTAACCGCTAGTATTCTTGCCCCTATCTTTACTTTGAAGAGTAAAAATCCACTACTCCTTAACCCACCAACTTCGAGAGTTTTAAACATGATACACTACTTAGTAGTCAAAAAGTCTCTTCATTCACAGGACCATCCATTTTCACTTATTCATCTTCGACAGGTTTTTTATGAACTGGGTCTCCTCTTCAATTCATGCGTCTCTTACTTACAATTTTTTTTGCCATTTGTGCAGCTTCTTGAGAGCAGACTCTGTTTACTTCAGCTTTTTTCCAATACACAGTGGTCGAAGATCGCCTATAGTGGACGGTGGAGCAAACATTTAGAGGTTTCTATATATAAGATAAAGATGAAATAAAACTCGTTACCGCTGTTAGACCGTTATGACCACCGCCAACGACCACGACGTCATAGACGTCTTTGGGATGCGTGTAGAGTGTTCTAAGAGCAGTGAAACGTCCACTCATACTGGAATAATTGTGCAGTTTCGGTTGGTCCAGTTATAAGTTAAAATGCACCATTGTCTAATGAAAGGAGTGAAAACTTCGGCAGTGAAACCGTTAAAGTTGTACCAGATCAAATATTGTAGAGCTGACAAACTAAATCCAACTCTAGTTTGAACTTATTCTCTGCGTCGAGGAACATCGATGCTTCTATGGAATCATTTACAGTGAAATTCAAGATGGCATTTCGAAAACCATTCCCGGAAACAAAGGACCATGGTAAGACTGCTTTGTGTAGAGAATTTTGGCGTTATGAGATTCTATAGGACTTTCGATAAAAGTTGAGTACTAGGTAACTCAAGAAATACTGAGCAATTGAACCTTTTAGTTTCACGCTCTCGAGTAATATTTTATGCTGTTTTGATTGAAAGAAAAATGAGAGATAATCCCAGAAGGAAGTTGATGATCTACTGGAAAATGACGAAAAGTCGAACATAGAAGACACATACGTCTTATCTGGACCAGTAGCACACACTTCAACGATAAGATATGAGCCGAGTGTCGAAAATACGCAGCTATAAGCCGCCTTATTTATCGACCTCAGATCAATACTGTAAGAATCAATATCGTGTGGAAATGAAAAACACGCAAAAATCCTATCGAAGAACTCATGTGTGCAACTGTCACGAGCTTTTTCTACTTTTCGAAGTAAGCTCGCCGTTTGCGTGGGCGTAGGATTCAGTACAATGGACTACGTCTACATAATAACACGACTCATCGAAGCATTACAAGAGTAGAAGAACCGCTCTGCTTCATTTCGTCGATTTCAAGATAGTTTCTGATCTGGTTGAGATAGAAGCTGTCACGGAAGCTCTGGATAGCAAGGCGCCCATGCCCAGTATATATATTATTCATGAGCTGTGTAAAAGTTTTACAATTAAATATCACCCACCATTCCACAACGATATTAACACCGATATCAAAAGAGGGGTTAGGCAAAGCGATACCATCTTGCTATAATTATTTACTAACCCCTTTTAAAACATCGTGTGAACACTGGAATGGTACAACATGGGAGTGAAAATTGATGGTCGGCAATTACAAAATCTGATGACATCGTTCTCATATCAATAAACATTAGCTAAGCGGAACAAATACTTGCCGAGTGTGGTATAGCCCGTGGAAAGATTGGTTTTCGACTAAATCTAACAAAAACAATGTTTATGAGAAAAAAATTAGTTTTCATGCCCCATTCATCCTCAACGGAATGAATATCTCCGAATGCTATAGTTAAGCTTATCTAGGTCGGGAAATTAACATGATGAACTCAGCACCAGAGTCGAACAGAACGAAGCGAGCGACTTTGGAAGCTTTCAAGGCCATTGAGGATGTAATGATGAAAACAGAGATTATCCGACTCCACGCCTACATCTTCATCTCCACAAATCTTCTTGCCTTAACGTATGCGTCAGAAACCTGACCGCTAGGTAAGCAAGATGAAGGATCATTACACGTTATTGAACGCTCAGTCGAATGTTGAAAGTCGTGCCCCATATCACCCAAGTGATTGGCATCCACCTACGTTAACGATGAAAAGTAGAAGATGCTATTCTACACGTCAAATTGTCGAAGACAATGTTGGACGGAGACGTATTTCGCATGAACGACAACCTGTGGACATGAGCCGCTGGCGATTTGCTTGGGATGTCAAACAAAAACCGGGAAGACCACCAACCCGATGTTCGTAGTTCTCGATAAGAATCGTTGAAGGAAGGGTCTGGCACGCAACGGCGAGAAGTGGAAAGTTAACTGATGCCCGCTTTCCAGTCACTCAACTATCAACGGGACGACGAGTGAAACAAGTGATAGTCACGAGGGTACGTGGCAGAGGGTATTTAAACTCAGGTAAAAAAAAAAACTTTACGTATACGGTGGATGCAACCCTTAGACGGAAGTGGATTTAAGTCATAAAACTTTCGTCGTTGCTCTGCTGTTTCTGTGAAATATATTGATATGGCCTTGTGTCACGGTGACTTCATATTCCTCTTCATTGTCAACTCCACCTCCAACCCAACTAGTCTAAACCAATGAAAACTCGAATATGAACGAGTTTATAAACCAAAGGCAAACGAGTCATTTTGTTGATGAGGATCATCAGCACGAATATTTTAACTTTTAACCTTTATGTATATTACTGACTGATCTCGTTTAGTGTTTGATAGATTCCATCATCAGGTAGAATGCTAGCAAGCACAATACTTTGGGATCATATTGTCCTTTCTTCTTGGCCTTGAGCCCAACACTGAAGACCAAGCAATATCTAGTTTCCTTCCTTAATTCGTTGTACACGCACTAGATGTAGATATGTTAACATTTACACCACGGCGTGATCCCCACCCCATGAGAACTATACAGAAGAAAAGTAATGGCCTCTTTCAACATTAGGACAACATATCGGCTTCCAGTGGATTTCTTCAATTTCAATAAGAAAGCTATAATCGGTAAGCTATTTTGTGCAATATGAGAGTCTTCTTATTTTCCCACGATGAAATTTTGATTTGCCTGTACATATATTTCCTCCAAATTATTGCTTCAATTCTTTATATTCTTGTTGACTAACCGCTCGACTTCGTCCAGAAAAACATTGTCGCATTTCTCAATAAACCTTTTCTGTTTAGAGCTGCTGTCCTTCGGTTGAAACCTTTAGAAACTTAAAGTTCGGTATCAGTTTTTGAAGAACTTGAAACCTACGCATATTTGAATTGGAAAGGGTAAGAAGGTACTCTCTATATAACGACCCAATATGCGATTAATGCGATAAGGCAAAGTCGCTTTAGTAAATTCGTAGAGTTCTAAATTCCTGAAACACTCTATTGATCACCGACTGTATAGCTCTAAGGTATTAAATAACACCTAGTGCTTTACCAAGATTTCAGTGGTACTGATGCAGTTCAGTAAAGGTAAGTGTTCGGTGTCTCAACCTTTCTCTAAGCCCGCTAAACGTCGCATATCTCCACCAGTGGCGGAAACTGATATCTGGGATCAGCTACCTTCATCCAAACCGCAAAAATTGAAGAGTGTTTGTGACGAGGATACGCCTGAGCACGTCTATTCCAGGATTTCAGTGAGAATAGATTCAATTATCATTAAATGGCATGAGAAAGTACCAAAGGTTCTCAAGCACCATGGACTTGAGTATGAAATCCGAACAGCCTCATGAATAGTAGTTGGGAGGAAGCGGATCGAATACGGTGATTGCTGGGGTCCGCAATAATAACTCGAATTCTGTAGGCACTTTTTTCTCGCAAACATGCGATTCTTTAAATATATATATATATATATATTTAACTTTCCGTCAGTTGTCGTAAACACATTGGTTTGGCTCTTCACATGTTACCAGTCTAAATGCAAGGTCTCTACTCAGTGAAAAACCAACGAGATTGTGCTATTGTTCAAGTAGGATGATGTCCACGATATCGCCAACTATCGCTCAAACTGCTTACTGTCTGTCGTCTATAAAGTTTTCACTCGAGTCATCCCAAATAGGATTGACAGAACACTGGACGAAGGACATCTACGTGAGCAAGCATGGTTTCGAGAAGGACTCAGTATGATGGTCCACATCTATACGGTTACAACATTCATCGAAACGTTACGAGAGCACAAAAGACCGCTCTTTCTCACTTTCATCGCTATAAAGAAGGCTTTTGACTCAACTGAGATAGAATCAGTCATGGAAGCCGTGGACAGTCAGTGACTCCCTATTCAGATATATTCTTCGTGAGCTATGCAAAAATTTCACAACCAAGATATCACCATTCAACAACGACATTAACATCGACGCCAAAGGAGGAGTTAGACAAGGCGATACCATCTCACCAAAATTATTTACCGCCACCCTCCAGAGCGTCATGCGAACATAGGAGTGGGATAATATGGGAATGAGAATCGACGGTCGGCAGTTACATCATCTTCGCTTTGCTGATGACATCGTCCTTATAACACCAAACATTAGCCAAGCGGAGCGTATGTTTGCCGACTTTGATAAAGCCTGTGGAAAGATTGGTCTTCGACTAAATCTCACAAAAACGATGTTCATGAGGAACGGATTGGTTTCCTATGCCCCATTTACGCTCAACGGAACAAATGTTGAGCAGAACGAAGCGAGCGTGTCGGGATGATTTGAAGAGGATCGAGGAAGTAGTGAAAAAAACAAAGAACACCCGACTCCGTGGCCACCTTTTCGACTCAGCGGTGCTTTCTACCCCAACGTGTGCGTCAGAAACCTGGTCGCTGCATAAGCAGGGTGAAAGATTACTCAGCGTTATCGAACGCGTAGTCGAAAGGACGATGCTAAGAGCATTTCGTGTCACCCAAGTAAGGGAAGGGATCTGAAGCTCGGACCGTAAACGATCAAAAATCAGAGATGCCGTTCTGCACGCCAAACAGCCGAAGATGAGGTGGGCCGGAGGAGCAATGTGTATAATATATATAATATATATATAATATATATATATATGTCATTACTATCGCGATCCGTTTTTCATCACTGGCTCTAAGAATGCGAAATGCATTGGTTTGCTAGAATTTGTGAAGCCTTTTGTTCTTAATATTTTTTAAAAAGAGTATAGCCAAAAGAAGCTATCCTAGCCTTTGCTGTGTACATGCTCAAGTTTCACTGCTTCCTTGAGAACTCATTCTCTTCTTTACAGATAGCCGACGCCTGTTGACGATAACCGTCATCATATTGTTCAAAGTCGCGAATATTATGGCCATGGCTTTTGTCTCCTACTAAAAAGAGCAGCCTTTCGTAGTGCAAAAGGCTCAGCCCTGGTATTCGTTTACTCAAGCCTCTGCTTTTAGATGGCAATGTCGATCTCTTCAAATCAAGATTACTCCGATTTGGCGGTAACCATTTGACGTATATCGCAGATGGACATTCTGGAACACCTCTGACGATAATGAGTCGATGAACTTTAGAATATAGATGAAACAATGATCTCTACACTTTTGAATGAATCTTT